TTGAGTAGAAGGGGCAGCATCCCATGGGGGTTCAGGGAATGGGTACAAAGATGACATGGGATCCCAGGGACCCAGCCCAGTAGATATGACAGTGACACTGACCTGCCTTTTGCTGGGGGAGAAATGCCCAGATCAGAGCTAAAATTCCTGAACCTTGCTGGCCTAGCCAGGCCCCAAGCTGCCCGGCCAAGTCTGGGCTATTACCCTGCCTCCAGCTCAGAGGAGAGGCAGAGGCTAAGGGGCCTGAGCGCGAGGACTCCTCAGTTCTAATCCGGCCTTTATGAACTTGGGTGTCTCTGCCTCACTTTCCCATCTGTAAAATTGGTGCTTTGTGAGGATGAATTAAAAATCACATATTGTAGACATACATGTACATTTCCTGTGGACCAGAGATCGGCAACCTTTTCAAACCAAAGAGCCAAACTATATCAAAATACAGAACAAGTGGTCAACAAAGAGCCATATAAGAATGCCCATTTGCATGAATGGATGAAAATATATAACTTAAAATTATTGATAACTGACATGATTAATAGCATAAATAAAACCTTGTAAACTCAGACTTTATTTAAGGGGACTTCTGCTGCTGCATCTTTTTGCACATTTCTTTGAAGTTTACAGCATAACTGGTCAAATTTCGGTTCATGCACGCATTCAAGCTACATGAGTAATGATGCATTTTTTAAAATTTTGAATTTTAATTTAAAAAGTTGCATGTATTTTGGGAATGACAAAAGAGCTGTATTTCGTTCCATACTGATCCATATTTGGCTCTAGAGTCATATAGGGTGCAGACCTCTTCTATAGACTAATGCCAGAGGAATTTAAATATTTCACTTTTCCCCATTCATGCTGTTTAACTGCTTTTTTTTTCTCTCCCTTTCTCAGCTTGAACAATGGAGATCATTGAGGTCAGTTTCATTTGTGTTTATAGTTCTATATCCCTTTCAGAGCCAGGGACAAGCTTTAAGGGAAAGGTTGAAAACAGATATTTACACTGACATTTTAATGACAAATTAATGGAATCTGTTCTATTGGACTTTGGGTTTGGAAAAGTTCGCTTTTACCAAATCTAAATGTTGAGTCATATGTGAGATGACTGTATCCCCCATAGTTTGTAAAGTGCCAATACATATTAAGTAATAGCATGAAACTAGTTTGAGGCACCTTCAGTCTGAAGTACTATAAAGTACTATGTCGCAAACTAAACGTTGTTGGTACTGCTGAAAAATAGAAAAACAATACCAAGCCACAAATTCCAGTGAGGCTTTCTGTAAACTAACTTGTACTTTATACCGTATAGGAGACACTGTTTAACAGGCACTGCGAATAACACTTCAGTGTCCTATGCCATTCTTAATAGTGTGCAGGTGGTGACAACAGTCATCAGGAATATGTTGGCATGAGTACATACTATTTTCCAAATTAAGTATCTAGAGTGCTCAAGGAAATAAAAACACAGGGGAGGGAAATAGGAATAATTGTTATCTGGACTTCATGGGCCAGATCTTTAGGAAGCACCAATCAGCATAGCTCTAGAGTTACACTGACCTATGTCTAATATTTAGCATTTGTGTAGAGCGTTATCTGTTCACTGTATAGTTTTTAACCAGCTATTCTCACAACATCCCTAGGAAGTAGGTGAGTAGGTATTACTCTGCACTGTTCACCAATGAGGAACCTGAGACAGTACAGGGAAAGGATTTGCCCATGGCCACACTGAGTCAGTGGTAGAGTCAGGATTAGAAATAAAGAGCTCCTGGCTTCCGGTCTTCAGCTCATTCCTGCAAATTACCGTGTCTTTAAAATTCCTAACAAGGAAAGCCAAACTCTTAGGCCATGTCTCTACTTATCTTGCCGGAGATTAATCTCCTGGCATTCAATTTAGTGGGTCTAGTTAAGATCCACCAAATCGAATGCTGGCCAGCACCAGTACTCCTGGCAGTGGCAAGGAGTAAGCGAAGCAGATGGGAGCATTTGCTCCTGTCAGCCTCTTCTGTGAAGGCAGTGCCAACCTTGGCACTGAAGCTGTGTACCTTAACCGGGCCTTCCAGGTGCAGGTGATAAGGATCTGCAGTGGCTACTTTAACAAGTCATGGCATATAATTAACAACAGCATTACCCATGGACACGGAAGTCATTACGAACTGTGACTTTCAATGTCAGTTGCTAAACCAAACATGAAATAAATGTGTGTTTAGTCCACTTTTGCTCAAGCTCTCGTAGGCCTCCCCTTACTGCCTGTATTTGCTTGTACTGCCCTTTCAAATGGGCCAGTTAGGCATCTGAGAGGTTACATTGGTTTAGTTTAATTTGGTAATTTACTGATGCAAGTTACTCTGATCTAAGAAAGAGTTAATCCAGTTTGTTTGACAATATCAAGGACATGAGTCGGTTTAACTAGATCAATTTAGTTACGCTAGTGTAACTTTTCTAGTATAGTCACAGCCATTAAGAACACGCATCATCACTGCACAATTGTTTGGGACAGGAAGTAAAGAAGAATGCCATGTTCCAGAGAAAGGGTAGTGGGAATTTATTCAAGACATAATTATCCAAAGTGGGAATTTCGCCAAGATATTGGTGTTAACACCTCTACCCTACTTCTGTAGCAGTGCCATGAGCTCTGTAGTGACTTCAGATAATAGCGAACTTGGTTTTATGTCTCCATACAATGATCACACCTCCCGCAGTACCTCACCCCCGTGTGTGCCACACTGGGACACTGATTCAGAACGGACTCAGGAGAAACAGGGCCTGCATTCTGTAGTAATTGGCATTCTATAAATACTTCAGGTAGATTAGAGAGGTAAAATTAAGATTACATTGAGTGCTGGCTGCTGGAGGCACAGCATCACATTTAGCTAGATGGCTAAATCTAGTTCTTCCTTGGAGGCCTCCCATCCAGGTACTATCTCAGTCTGTCCCTTTTTAACAAATTAAATAAATACCAATACTAAAATAAGTCCAAAAACATGAATCAGAGAAACTTGGCTATTACAATTGCTGTTATGACCTGACACTTTCACTGATTTTTGAAGAGAAATGATCAGCATCAAAACCAGCATGCAGAGCAAAGGGCAGAAATAATTAGCCAATACAATGCTGCTTCAAGACCTGTCAGGGGACTGACATTTTAAACTTTATTCTCTTACTTCCTGTATTATTGATTAGAAACATTCACCCCTTGTTCATTATCTGTTAATAAAAGTGACCCTGGAGGTGGGGACTTCTGTTTGCTTAGCCATGGCCAACTGTGAAGCGTCAGAGACTCAGGAATTGTTTGGCTTTTAGTAGCCTGTCAAACCTGCCATCATTCCCCACAGTTCAGTTGAGGCTCTAATTACAGGTTAGAAGGTTATACAGGAAAAACGTGTTCTGGAGGGAGGTGGTCAAAGTGAATGGGTTTGTTAACTCTTTTGTATCAACTAGAGCAAAATATATGAGTACAACTGCCCTGTCACGTGTGTACTAAGTGGAATAAAGGCGTTGTGTCAGACCGTATTCCTGTGTCAATAAGGTATGTGGTAATTCCAAGAAATGAAGTGACCCTTGAGCCCGTTACACATGTACTTCCTGTATTAGCTCCACCAACAACAACACTTTACCTTTCCTTTGTGCCTTTCGTCCAATGAGTTCACCTCACTCAGTAATTACAAAAATGAGTGAAGCCTCATGCCTGCTCTGTGAGTCACCAAGGTATTATTATCCATATGGCACAAAGAGAGCGACTGAGGCACGGAGAGGGAATGGCTTTCACAGGGTTACACAGTAAGTCAGTGTCAGAGGGGTGAACCGAACCCTGACTTCCTGTTCCCTCCTCTAATTACTGGGCTTATTGAACACTCCTGTACCAAACTGCAAAAGGGGTGGGCAGTCTGACTCAACAACTTTCCCTTCCCAAGTGACTGCTGTTCTTATGTAATTGCAAATCAGCAAATCCCAATGTGCCATTGTAGCCCGTGGCAGCCAGGTACAATCAGGATCTCCACAGAGTAGTGTGCTGCTCTGAGAGTGCTCCTCATGGGTTTGTTTTCTGAAGTATTTTCAGACTTTCCAAACTAAATGTTGATGCTTGCTAATGCTGTTTTTTTTCCCCATGTGATACACTCACTGCTTTGGTAGCTGCCATTAGTCCCCATCCCAGAATGTGCCTGCACTACAAATTTTTGCTGAACCAAGTTTTGTTGACATAAAGCCACCACGGTGTGGCTCCTTGGGTCAGCACTCTGCATGCTCACGAGGAGAGTGTCTGTCGATGCACGGGGCGGCGCACTGTGGGTAAGTATCTGAACGTGCAAGCTATCGTGATTCAATGGGAAGATCTGGTAATGCATGCTGGGCCAGAAATGAGTCACGCAGGTTTGAGAGGGAGCAAAGGTCAACTTCCCAGCATGCAGGTGTCTCCAGCCCATAGTTTTCGTGCCTTTTTAAAAATCCCATGAATCCACATATCCCTCCTTGGTGTCAGCTATATCTGACAAAAGCATGGAGCCTGCACTATTGCCGTTAGCCCAGGATGCATGATCCTTCAGTATTTGCAGAGCCACAAGAAGAGCCAAAACAGCAGAGAAGACAATTTCTTGGAGGACAGATTGCTGTGGACTCTCAGGAGAACTAGTTTAAGGTTGTTTTTGTTCAAACAAAAAGGAGTCCGGTGGCACTTTACAGACTAACACATTTATTAGGGTATTAGAGCATTGCTTTTGTGAACCACAACTCACTTCCTCAGATGTTGAAGAGAAAAAGAAAGACCAAAAAAAAAGGATACAGAGATGGGACTGTAACATCAGTGCTAATTAAATCAGAACGGATGTGTCTCTTCTCCAACAGTGGTGAGAAGGTGAGAATACCTGAATGGGAAATTACCTATTGTAATGCAAGAACCACTCCATGGCTGCGCTTTTGCGCAAAAACTTGTCAGCTGTCTACACTGGCCGCTTGATTTTGCGCAAAAGCACTGACGTTCTACTGTCCGAAATCAGTGCTTCTTGTGCAAATGCTTTGACGTTCCCGTTTGGGCAAAAGCCCTGTTCCGGAAATGTTTTTGCGCAAGAGGGCCAGTGTAAACAGCTGAAAACTGTTTTGCGCAAAAAAGCCCCGATGGCGAAAATGGTGATCGGGGCTTTCTTGCGCAAAACCACATCTAGATTGGCACGGACGCTTTTCCGCAAAAAGTGCTTTTGCAGAAAAGCGTCCTGCCAATCTAGACGCTCTTTTCCGCAAATGCTTTTAACGGAAAAACTTTTCTGTTAAAAGCATTTGCAGAAAATCATGCCAGTCTAGACGTAGCCCGTGGGTTTATTTAGACTTTGGTTCAGGGTGTCAAATTTGCATATGAATTCCAGCTGGCACTTTCTCATTCATTTTTGTTGGTTAAACTTAAAAAACAACTAAAGGTCTAGTAGCACTTTATAGACTAACAAAATATGTAGATGGGATCCTGAGCTTTCCTGGGTACAGCCCACTGTGCCCACAAACGCTCATGATCCCATCTACATGTTTTGTTAATCTATAAAGTGCTACCAGACCGTTTGTTAAGTTTATCCTGTACAGACTAACTCCGTTCTCCCTGGAAGATTTTGTTGATGTTCATAGAGCAGCTGTAGATGGTGGAACACTGATTCGGGGCCCAAGAACCAGCACTGCATGGAGATAGTGCATCATAATGCAAGCAGGGCAGAGACAACAGCTGCACTCCCTGTGGAGATGGAACTGGATAATGCCCTATGGACATTTGCAGGGTGAGACTGCTCCGGGTCAGTGGAAAATCATTTTGAAGCTGGGATGCTGTCTCCTGCTAGGTAGGACTGGGACTTTTGACAACGTGCAGGACTTAGTGGATAAATTTGTGGCAGTGGAGTTCCCAAACTGCACTGGAGCAGTACACAGCGCGTATATTCCTATTGGCACCAGACCACCATGCCCACCAAGTAAATCAACAGATACGGGTTATGCAAGTGCTGGTGGATCACTGGGGAGGGTTCATTGACATCGGTGTTGGCTGGTCAGGGAAGCTACATGACCCTTGCATCTTTAAGAACACAGGCTTATTGAGAGCCACAAGCAGGGACTTACTTTCCCAACTGGCAGATCACCACTGGTGATCTTGAAATACCAGTCGTGACTGTGGAGCACCAGCCTTCCCATTGTTCCTCTGGCTCAAGAAGCTGTTACGGGTCCCCAGGACAGATGCAGCTCCTGGCTCAGCAGGTGCAGAGTGACAGCTGAATGCACTTCTGGTAGATTGAAGGGATGCTCACAAGACTGGATCTTAGTGACAAATCCCAATCATCATGGCTGTCTTTCAGGTACTATAAAGGAGAAACATCGCTGAGGTTCCTTCCCCTGCATCGAGTTTTCCTGTGCTTGACTGCAGAGAAGTTGCACACAGGTCTTGGCTTGTGGCATAGCTGGATCCCTGGTCACATGTGCCCCATCCTCCCCCTCTATTTCCTCTTTGCTGTTGCTGTTCATTCCAAGGGCCTGTGACTCTGGCTCCTCAGAAGAATCCACAGTAGCTTGTGAGGGGCGGGGGCGGGGGCGGGGAGGGTATCTCTTCCAATTCTGACATGCCGCTCTGTATAAAAGCGGCAGAACTGCAGCTTCCCACCAGCTGACTGTCCACCCCCCTGGCCTTTTGATAGGCTGATGCAGTTCCTTGCTGTCCATATAGCACTGCTGGTGGCCCACCCTACCCCTTCTCTGGCATCCCCCCCATGCAATTTGCTTGTGGGTGTCCACATTTCTTCAGCTGATCCGTATCTGTACCTGCCCTGCCCCTCCTCCACATAGGCCCAGGAGAGCTAATATCTCCTGTCAACTCCAAGCTGGAGCAGAGGCGCATGTGGCTCTCAGTCAGCTGGGCAGTCGTCCACGGTAACGGAGAGCGGCTGGATGTGCTAGCCACGCTGGACAGTCAGGAAAGGCATTTCAGAAACGTGCAGGGCGTCCCAAGGGAAGATCCTTCTAGTCCGCTACCCTCAACAGTGAAGTTCCCGGCTGTGACCAGAGCAACCAGGGCCAGCATTGTGGGACAGCTGCAGGAGGACGGCGAGGGCCGACATACGTAATGCGGCATCGTCCTCAGACCCCATTGGCCAAGGCTCAGCACTGCTCAGGGAGGTGATCCTACTGTACTGCTGTAATCAGAGCATCCTAGAACTGGATGGGTCCTCGCGAGGTCATCAAGTCCAGTCCTCTGCCCTCCATGGGCAGGCTCGAGCCTGCCAAGGGGGTTGATCCAGCCTGTGGAGGCCCTGCCTGGGGGCAGGGGGAAGCGCACGAAGTTTCCTCCACCCTGCCCCCACCTTACAAGGTGCGCACGGCGCTTAGAAGTGCCACTTGCTCCTGGCAGGGCGGGAGGAGACTTCGTGCACTCCCCCGTCCCCACAGCCTGGGGGCAGAAGGGGGAACGTGAAGTCTCCTCCCACCGCCAGGGGCATGGGTGCCTAGGGGGAACCTCTGGGGAGGGCAAAGACTTCACGTGCCCCCCCCATCCTCAGACGTCTGTGAGTGGGGAAGCAGGGAAGTACCCCCCCTGCCGCTTGAGGCCCCGCCCCGTGCGGAGCAGCCCAGTGCCACTTCAGACATTTCGGAAGTGTCCCCCTGCAAAAAATTCTTGCCCACCTCTGGTCTAGCTCGTCCCTGCCCGTGTCTGTCCAACCTGCTCTTCAATATCTCCAGGGACGGGGATTCCACAACCCCCCTGGGCAGTTTATTCCAGTGTTTAACCACCCGGACAGGAAGCTTTTCCTAATGTCCAACCCAAACCTCCCTTGCTGCAGTTTAAGCCCCTTGCTCCTGGTCCTAATGATGCGCTTATGTCTGTGGAAGACAAATGTGCACAACTAGGCCAGTGCAAAGCAGCTTGTGTTGCCTGCAGAGCAGTCCTCAGCCACACACGACCACGGTCTCCAACTCTCTCTATGGGCCAGCCACACCGGCTTGTAGTTTCCCAGCAATGTCTGTGCCCACATAGATTCCCCTAGACGTGCTGGTTGGATTTCTCCCTGCCATTGGAGCGGACTGGATTGGCCCAGGTAGCACTGGCCCTCCACTGGATCAGGTAACTCCCTTCTTCCTTTGTGCTAGTTTAATCACGCCTGCCCCTGCAATGTCCACTCCAGTGCATCTGGCCAAGTAAGCTTGTGCCCAAATAAATCTGTTGGTCTCTGAGGCCCTGCAGGACTAGGGATGTTACATTTAGATTAACTAATTAAATAATCGATGGAATTTCCATCGACTATTTGATTAGTTGATAAGGGCGCCTCCCTGGGCTCCGGGTTCAAAGTAGATGCCCCGCAGGGAGCACGGGGCCAGCAGGGCACTGGCCCTGCGTTCCCTGCTGCGCCCAAGCCTTTGAAATGTACAAGTCCTAGTAGGGCGCTCGCACATTTCAAAAGCAGAATCGCCGCCAGCAGAGATTGCTTCAGTCCCCGCTCTCGCCCTTTCCCACTGTGCCTCTCCCTCCCCCGCCCCCGCGGGGACGCTACTGGGGGAACCAGCTTTTAAGCCGGCTCCCCCTAGCACCGGCTCCTGCTCCCTGACCCCTTGCTGCCTCCCTCTGACAGAGGCAGCAACGGGGGGAAGCGACTAGTCGCATCACTAGTCAACTATCCAAGACGCTTACGCTTGCCCCAAGCCCTTGCCTCAGATCACAACCCCTCCTCCTTACGCAAACTCCCTCAGATCCCACACTCTCCTACCCTGCGCGCCCTTCTGCACCCAATCTCCTCCCTGACCTTGCTCCCCCTCCATAGAAAAGTGCAGCCCTTGACCACTTACCAGAATCTTGGAGTGCCCCCCCCCCAACAAAAATTTTCCCCCCCCTCTAAATAAATAAACACTGGTTCTGAAAATATGGCACTTGGTCCTCCAGAGCCCTGCACTCTGTGCTCTGCCCCGAATGAGACTCCGGGAGTCAGACTGCACACACAGCAACAGACCTGTTGCTAGCAGCCCTGGCTACTGCAGCATGACTCACCCATCGGCGCCTGCCAGTGCCTGCTGTGACCCCGCTGACGGCTAACCCACCCACTCATCTGAGAAGGGCTGGCGACTAATGCGGGGGCCCCAACCACAAGCGACGGCCTTGGGGAGCCGAGTGTGGAGGATGCTCACCTCACGACCCTCTCCCTGAACGTAAGAAGACTGCACCGAACAGGCCAGCGTCCCAGATGTTCTCGGGATTTCTTAGCACTAGCCCTGCCTTCCCCAGGCCTCTCCCCATTGGAAAGCATTTGCGATTACTGAGCAAAACTTTGGGCCCACTATTTTTCCTGGTTGGGCGGGGGAGGTTTCTGGGGTACCAGCTGAAGGGAGTGTAAATGCGGAAGGGAGGGCAAGCTAGGATCTGTGCATCTTAGATGCAAAGAGTGGGCACCAGCCATCAGGGGAGAGGCTAGACGAGCTGTAAATCATGTGGTGCGCTCTCCCGGTACAGCTGCCACTCCCAGGCGCTCGCAGACCAGCCTGGTGGCTCCCCACAGAGCAGTGATGTCCTCCGAGGACAGACATTTCATCGCGCCTTGTGACGCCCAAGCGGCACAGCAGGGACCACAGCCACCTGCAGAGGGAACACCCGCTCTGTAACAGCAAGACGCTGTCCTTCCCCAGGAGCCGGCTGCTGTGGCTCACCCGGGGCAGTCCAGAGCCCAGCCTGCTCCCGAGAGGGGCTGGAGCCGAGAACCCCTGAACCAGACTTGTGTAGAATGGAGTCCAATTCAAGTCAGAGAGGGCTGCAGCCCCACCTGCCCTGACACTGCTCGGTACAGCCGTGCGCGTGTGGCCTGTTTTCACCGAGGATGGGCTCTGGTGCAGTGCTCCGTGCCAGGCCTGCAGCTTCCCCCATAGGCAGCCAGTCTATTCTCTCTAGCCTCCCAATTGCAGCCTTCGTCCAAAGATGCTCGCTGCCCATTGGCTCCGGGTGGGCTGCCTATAGCATCCCTGGTGCCTGTCTCCAGGAGAACAGGAAGCTGGAGCAAGGCTCAGCATGCAACCAACACATTCCAACCGGAGCGGTCACTTGGGCAGGGACTCAGGCTGCGGCCTGGGGGCAGGAGCAAGCTCGCCCCGCTGCACGGCTGAGCCCCCCGGAGCGGCCAGCCTGGCCAGCCACAAAGAAGCCAAACCCCGTTGTGGATCTGACTGAGACTCAGTCGCTTTCCTACGCGGGGTGACGGAGCTCAGCACGGACCTGCTGAGGTGGGCTCTGCCTTTCTGGATTGCACCTGGGGAAGTCTCCCTCTCCCCTCCCGTGGCCGTAGGCGAAGTGTCTTCTGGAGGCTGGGAGCATCAGCGCCCACGGTGGCGACCCTCGTGCCAGGGTCAATTCTCAGACCGAATGCCTTTTCCAGGCAGGGGACAGAGCTGCGAAGCGCTCCCAGAATTAGTAACGTGTCATTGGCTCTGATAGCAGATGAGCGGTGAGCCAGAGCAGCCCCCGGGCGAAGTGGATTGGCGAGCTCAGTCCAGTCCTGGCCGCCAGGTGTCCGTGTGGATACAAAACACGGCAAATGGGCCCCTTTGTGGGCATTTGATACAGACCAGCCAAAAGCTACATAATCTGTGGGGATGAAACTCCCTCCCTCCACCCTCCAGGGAACGTCTGGGAGCAGGCGTGAGGTGCACTGGCAGGATGTGGCCGTGGGGAGAGGGTGGAAGGCTCCCTGTGGCTGCCCACCTGTGGCTCTGCCGATGGACTCACTCCGCTTTGCCCAGTAGTGGACTCATGGCCCAATCTCAGGGCGGGAGGAGGATGTTTTTTCCAGACTGCTAAAGAACGCCCCAAGCTCCCAAAGCCTTGCCCCTCGGCACAGCTGATCCTCGGCAGACATCTTTCCTGTCCCCCTACGCTGAGTGGCAGATTACCGGCTGGCGTTTGTGCTGCAGTTCTTCTTTCTCCCTGTACAACTGCACTCTCTAGAGGCGATGCTGGAGAACGGCAGGGTCTGACCGAGCGGGTTCCGTGTGCTTGTCGGAGTCGGCACCGTTACCGGGAGACCCATTGTTCTTACCCCGTCCGTGGGCCGAGCGGCGTGCGCTCCACTGCTGGGCGAGCGGGTGTTTTTCCCTGCAGACGCCAGTCCGTACTCGGAGCCTCCTGAAGAACGAGCCCCGTGGCTTGGTCGAGTAAAATGCCTGCAGTGTGGGAGTGGAAAGGGGACGTCTTACGTAACCGCTGGAGACAAGCGATCACCTGCTTTCAGGAGCGCGTGAAGAGTGAGGCTCGGATAGCCGGGCCATCGCGGGCCCAGCATAAGGGCCTGGACAGACAGGCAGACGAGTCCCAGTGATGTAGGTCGGCCCAGGCCTGCTGTCTGCATGAGCTGACAGGTTCTTTTCTCTCCATCTTCTCAGACACTGCTCCCCCGTGTCGGAGCCTGTGTGGGAAACCCCCGAGCAAGGCTGCACTCCCTCCATCCTGCACTTCTGCAGCCCAGCGTGCTCGCCGCCTCGGTCTCCCCAAGTGTGTTCACCATCCCGGGCTCAGTGCCAGGGCTGGCGACAGGCTTTGCTGGGCCCCTGGGCAATGTGGGAAGTGGGAGGAGGCCTTGGCTCTGGACCCCTGGGAAGGAGCAGGGCCTGGGGAGAAGCCAAGGAGCTAGGGCAGCCAGCCCTCAGTGCCACGCAGACCATGCCACGCCTCCCCCAGCTAGCCCTCAGGGCCACGCAGACCGTGCCAGGCCTCCCCCAGCCAGCCCTCAGTTCCACGCAGACCGGGCCACGCCTCCCCCAGCTAGCCCTCAGGGCCACGCAGACCGTGCCAGGCCTCCCCCAGCCAGCCCTCAGTTCCACGCAGACCGGGCCACGCCTCCCCCAGCTAGCCCTCAGGGCCACGCAGACCGTGCCAGGCCTCCCCCAGCCAGCCCTCAGTTCCACGCAGACCGGGCCACGCCTCCCCCAGCTAGCCCTCAGGGCCACGCAGACCGTGCCAGGCCTCCCCCAGCCAGCCCTCAGTTCCACGCAGACCGGGCCACGCCTCCCCCAGCTAGCCCTCAGGGCCACGCAGACCGTGCCAGGCCTCCCCCAGCCAGCCCTCAGTTCCACGCAGACCGGGCCACGCCTCCCCCAGCTAGCCCTCAGGGCCACGCAGACCGTGCCAGGCCTCCCCCAGCCAGCCCTCAGTTCCACGCAGACCGGGCCACGCCTCCCCCAGCTAGCCCTCAGGGCCACGCAGACCGTGCCAGGCCTCCCCCAGCCAGCCCTCGGGGCTGCGCAGACCGTGTTGTGACGTAGTGGGGGTACTTGCTGGGCTGTGGTGACCCCTGCTGTCTGGAGCAAGACCCAGCAGGGAAGACCTCATTATGCAAAGCTAATGCCAAACTTGTTGAACCAGCGGCCAGACACCCCCCATGGAGAGGAACAAAGGAAGGTGGAAGGCTGCCCTGGCTGGGTGGCAGGGATGGAAGTTGGTTAGTTGGTGGCTGGCTGTCTGTGAGCATGGAGGAGACAGCCTAGGGAGAGGAGCTGGAGTTTAGGGGCCCAGTCTCCCCCCAACTCAATGGGGCCTGAGGCATCCTAGCCCAGCTCTGTGACCAGATTACATCTGTGCTGTGCTGTATCCTGGAGAGGCAATAAACTTCCTCTATTCCACCGGCTGGTGCGGTCTGTTTGTGCCATTTCGGGGTGCAGGAGACAGGGGACCCCCAACGCGCCGTCACACGTGTCACGCCTCCCGCAGCCAGCCCTCAGGGCCACGCAGACCGTGTCACGCCTCCCCCAGCCAGCCCTCGGGGCCACGCAGACCGGGTCACGCCTCCCCCAGCCAGCCCTCGGGGCCACGCAGACCGGGTCACGCCTCCCCCAGCCAGCCCTCGGGGCCACGCAGACCGGGTCACGCCTCCCCCAGCCAGCCCTCGGGGCCACGCAGACCGGGTCACGCCTCCCCCAGCCAGCCCTCGGGGCCACGCAGACCGGGTCACGCCTCCCCCAGCCAGCCCTCGGGGCCACGCAGACCGGGTCACGCCTCCCCCAGCCAGCCCTCGGGGCCACGCAGACCGGGTCACGCCTCCCCCAGCCAGCCCTCGGGGCCACGCAGACCGGGTCACGCCTCCCCCAGCCAGCCCTCGGGGCCACGCAGACCGGGTCACGCCTCCCCCAGCCAGCCCTCGGGGCCACGCAGACCGGGTCACGCCTCCCCCAGCCAGCCCTCGGGGCCACGCAGACCGGGTCACGCCTCCCCCAGCCAGCCCTCGGGGCCACGCAGACCGGGTCACGCCTCCCCCAGCCAGCCCTCGGGGCCACGCAGACCGGGTCACGCCTCCCCCAGCCAGCCCTCGGGGCCACGCAGACCGGGTCACGCCTCCCCCAGCCAGCCCTCGGGGCCACGCAGACCGGGTCACGCCTCCCCCAGCCAGCCCTCGGGGCCACGCAGACCGGGTCACGCCTCCCCCAGCCAGCCCTCGGGGCCACGCAGACCGGGTCACGCCTCCCCCAGCCAGCCCTCGGGGCCACGCAGACCGGGTCACGCCTCCCCCAGCCAGCCCTCGGGGCCACGCAGACCGGGTCACGCCTCCCCCAGCCAGCCCTCGGGGCCACGCAGACCGGGTCACGCCTCCCCCAGCCAGCCCTCGGGGCCACGCAGACCGGGTCACGCCTCCCCCAGCCAGCCCTCGGGGCCACGCAGACCGGGTCACGCCTCCCCCAGCCAGCCCTCGGGGCCACGCAGACCGGGTCACGCCTCCCCCAGCCAGCCCTCGGGGCCACGCAGACCGGGTCACGCCTCCCCCAGCCAGCCCTCGGGGCCACGCAGACCGGGTCACGCCTCCCCCAGCCAGCCCTCGGGGCCACGCAGACCGGGTCACGCCTCCCCCAGCCAGCCCTCGGGGCCACGCAGACCGGGTCACGCCTCCCCCAGCCAGCCCTCGGGGCCACGCAGACCGGGTCACGCCTCCCCCAGCCAGCCCTCGGGGCCACGCAGACCGGGTCACGCCTCCCCCAGCCAGCCCTCGGGGCCACGCAGACCGGGTCACGCCTCCCCCAGCCAGCCCTCAGGGCCATGCGGACCATACTGTGGGGGATTCCAGCAGCAGTTTAAAGGGCCAGGAGCCCCTGGCTCTAATTGCCACGCCCCAGGCCAACTGCCCCTTTTGCTTGCCCGGGCCCCACCGGTGGCCCTGCCTAGCACTGGTGCACGCACAGCTCCCCATGGAAAGGAAGAATCGGTCACGCCGTGCCCCGTGGGCTCCAAAGACTCCTGGTCTCGACACGGTGCTATGGGTGATAGCTCAGGGTCTCCAATGCATCTGCTGCCCTTGGCAGACCCACCCCAGGCCTGTTCTAAACAAAGGTACAGAAACACAAAAGTGGGCCTGCTTCCCCGTGGGGCATCTAGTCAGAGCCCCGCAGCTTACCTCCCAGGGACACAGGCACCACCAACTACTCCAGGCTAGGCTAGACGGTCGAGTCCCAGCTGCCAGGCTACGAGTATACGGCCGGGTCCACGCTACAGGGGAAGGTCGGTTTAAGGGTTAACTCCTGCTACATGAAGCAGGAGGCTGGAGCTGACGCACTGTAAGTCAAGCTTTGGCACTGTCCTCCCAGCAGGAGGCGGACAGGAGACGTGTCCCTGATTGCCCCGACTCCCAGCGGGAATCCCGGCACCAACAGGGGCGCAGTCAGCGTTCCATTTAGTGGGTCTTTACTAGACCTGCTACATCGAAGGCTGGAAGATCGACCGCTGCAGCATCCATCTTCCCACAAGGAGATGTGGCCTCAGACGCTCCTGGCCTGAGCAGCTGCAGCAAGAGGAGAGTTTTCCGGCCCCCCGTTTCCCTCTGAGGTCTCTATTCTGCCTCCCAGACACCCCAGCGGAGGGGTGGGGTACAGTTGCCTAAGCAGCCTCGCAGGTACAAGTCACCTGGAAGCTGCAAGGAGGGGGCTGCCTACCCCCTGGAGCAGCTGTAGTCCCCTGCAAACAGCAAAGCGGAGGTGGGGCCCCCTTGGGCTTGTGGGAGGGCAGCTGTGTGGGGTGACCCAGGCTCCAGGTCTCTGCTCCCCGTTCAGGCAGCTCAGCTCTTCCTGGCTTGGTTTTCCACCCTGGGGGGGCCGTTCGGCTAAGCTCAGCCCCTCCCCGTTTCCCGACTCTCGCAGGCGGCTCCTGATCCACACCTGCTGCTCAGCCCACCCAGCTTCCTCCCCGCCGCGAGAACACGTGTTCAGGCCAGCCAGCCCTCTGCCCCATGCCCCGGCACTCCCCATTGGACCTCCCCGGCTCGAGCACTCAGTCTGACCAGCAGGAGGTTAAGTGCAAGACTCCCCTCGCCCCCCGCGAGCACAGAGCTCCACGTAGCAAGCCCCCTTCTTGCCATGCACTCGCCTGCCCCCACACCAGCTGGCCTGATGCAAACAGCTGGGCAAACCCCTGTGCAATGCCTTACCCACTTGGAACAGGGCTTGTGCCCCAGAGGTTGGTGCAAGGGGCAGGGGATCTGCAGCACCAGAAGTGGTCCAGGCCAAAGGAAAACGCGGCCGGAGCCCTGCCCGGCTTCTGTCCTTCTGAGATCCTGGTGTGGAGCCGGAAGCCCCAGGAAGGGCAGAGGCGCCCTGGCACGAGGTCACAATCCAGCCTCGTTCACAACTAAGGTGCTTGTCGCACGTGGCGGGTGCCTGCAGAGCCAGTCACCATCCTGCAGCTTACAGTAGAGACAGGCCCAAAATAGCAGCACGACTTTACGGCAGAGCTAAGAATAGCTCGCAGGTCAGCCTCCTCCTCAAAGGCAGCGGGGACGTCAGCTGCCGGGGAGCCGAGGAAGGAGGGCGGCTGGCCCTTGGCAGGGCAAGGGGAGGGGCGGACCAAGCGCCCTGCAGCTTTGTGTCACTAACCGAGATGGAGGCTTTCGTGGGCCTGGGCATTTTAGTTCTGGGATGCTTTGACGGGCAGCAGCCAGAGCAGCGTGGGTGGGAGGGGGGAGCGTGCAGGCCAGTGCGGGGCAACACCCTGCATTCCCGGACATCCAGGCCAGCTGCCTGTGCCCCCACCCTCAGGGCGGCCGCAGGGCGGGCGTGATGCGGAGCCCAACAGAGCGGCGGAGCGTGCTCCCGGGGCGGAGGGCACACTCACAAGGAGCAGGAGCTGGAGCCGTTTGAAGTGTCCCTGTCCCTGGCTACGCTCTGCCTTTCCATTCCCAAACTAGCCCATGCAAGGGGGCCCCTTGACGCGGGGTCGCCTGCCACGTGCCGCGCGCTCAGAGCTGCAAGCACCCTCCTGGGGCAGGCGTGTTGGCTACTTTTCACCGCAACGGCTTGGGATGGGGCAGGGCCCGGGCAGAGCCCCCCTCCACTGCTCTCCCTACAAAACGGCTCCTACCACCTCGACAGGCAGCAAGGGGCTCCCAGCAAAGCCCCCGGAGCTTCTGGTAGCTGGGCCAAAGGGGAGGCAGCTGCTAGCTGGGACCAGCCCTGTGCCGACAATCGAGCGGCGCCAGGGAGATGCCTGCAGACGAGTGCAGGGGATGCAAACAGGTGTGCGCTGTGGGCACGCTCACGAGTATCTGCCTCAGGACGACGGGATGGAAAATGGGGCAGACGCAGCCCAGACTGGTGGCCCCCCACCGACAAGGCACCAAAGCAGTCACAGAGCATTTCGGTCTCGCCGCGCTGGCAAGTCCCTCCGAGAAGCTGGTTCTTTCATCTCCCCACCAGGAACACGTATTGGAGGAGTGGTCACGAACACCAGCCTCGTGAAATAAAAGGTTGCTCTGATCCCAACGGCCGAGCCACACGCCTCGGTCACTGTGTAACGCAGGCGTTACCCACAAATCATGCTGTTGCCAACCCTTTACTACCTAAAATCGTAAAAGAAAGAAACAGATGCGAGTTAAAATGGATCAAAGAAACCAAATACGCACAACAATCACAGAGGCCTTGCTTCAGGCTTGTATCAGCCGCGGAGCAAGCGGCTGGCTCAGGTCAAGTCTCTGGTTCCTCCCCGGTCACTGGAAGGGCCGCGGTCCCTTTGTCAAGAGGCGCTGTTGGGGTAACTCCGTGGGTCAGGGCTTGAGCGGACGTGAGGTGAAATGGAGGTGCCCCTCGGGCCTTGCCCCAGGACTGCGGAAAAGCACAGCACGCTGGCGTCGAGTCACACGAGCCATCCCACGGACACCGTTCCGTGGAGCCGGGCGCCTTCCGCGCCTCATTGTGAGTGGAAGTGTCCTTCTGGGGAGCCGTTCCACTGGCACAGACCCTCCAGGCCAGGCGGGCTAAATACCTGGTGGGCATTACCCCAGGATTAAACATCCCCAATCAGGCAGCGAGCCACCGCGCAGAACTTCATGCAGAAAAAATATAAAAATTAATGGAGATTGCCTCGTGGAGCCGGGCGCCTTCCGCGCCTCATTGTGAGTGGAAGTGTCCTTCTGGGGAGCCGTTCCACTGGCACAGACCCTCCAGGCCAGGCGGGCTAAATACCTGGTGGGCATTACCCCAGGATTAAACATCCCCAATCAGGCAGCGAGCCACCGCGCAGAACTTCATGCAGAAAAAATATAAAAATTAATGGAGATTGCCTGTCTCCCAGAATGGACCTTGAAAGGTCATCAAGTCCAGTCCCCTGCCCTCACAGCAGGACCAAGTACCATCCCTGACAACTTTTTGCCCCAAATCCCTACATGGCCTCTGCAAAGATTGAACTCACAACCCTGGGTTTAGCAGGCCAGTGCAGAAACACACACACACACACACACACAAACAGCCTGCCCATTACCTTCTCATGGGCATCTCACTTGACCACATTGCACAAGCTTTGTTGCAAGTATAGAATAGGGGTTGCAACAATGATTTATCTGGTTACTTTCTATCAGGTGACTTCACGGGGCGCTCTTACTGGCTGGGTGCAGGAGAGAATCCCTGGGCAGCTGCCGGCCCTCGGACATAAAGGCTCTGGGCTGGGGTTGTTGGCGACAGCGGCAGGCGAGGCCCAGCCCACACCCAAAGCTAGTCTGGGCCCTGAATGCAAAGGGTTCTGCTGTGGAGTTAGCAAGCCCAGGAGGAGGGCCTGAAACAAAGGGTCCGGCCCCCCGGAAGCTGAGCAGTTCAAACATTCCCTATTGCAATATTTTGTGGGTCACCACCCAGCCGATCGGGATCTCCTGGCAGCTCTGGGAGCCTCTGACGGGATCTCGAGAGCTTTGGCCAAGCGGCTGCCAAGTGCTGGCTCTTCAGTTGCCCTCCCTCCCACTGCTGCCCTTTGCCTTGGAGCGTCCCCCCTCGCCCCCGGGAGCCTCCTGCTTGCTGTGCAGGACAGGGGAGGGAGCAGAGGGGAGCTGCTGTCGAGTGCCCCCCCTCTCCCACCCTCTACACTATTTCCACAGAGCCGAGTGGGGGCACAACAGGACTTGGGAAGCAGTGGTGCAGGGCCAGGGCAGGGAGCCTGCCTTAGCCCCGTTGCACCACCACCCAGGAGCCACCTGATGTCTGCAGGGCCCAGCTGGAGCCCAAAGCCTGAAACCCTGCCCCAGTCGTGAACCCCTCCTGCACCCCAACTGCCTGCGCTAAGCTCAGCTCAGCGTCCTTCCCACACTCCAAATCCAAGACCAGAGCCTGCACCCCAACCCGCTGGCCCTGCCTGCTGAAAAGGAGGGAGCATGGGGGCGGGAGGAGGCTGGAGTGAGCAGGGGGAGGAGCCTCAGAGAAGGGGCGCAAAGGAGGCGGGGCCAGGTAGATCTCAGAATGCACTTGAATTCAGAAAGCGATCTCATGCTTTAAAAGGTTGGAGACCCCTGAGTGACGGGCTCCTCTGAGTCCCAGCTGCAGGCAGCTCTGGCCCAGTGGGCATGGCGTCTCAGCGGGTTTCTTTACCCACTGTCTGTGAGGAGGCAGAAGAGAAAGGCTCAGGCTGGTGTGTTCCCAGCAAAGCGTCCCAAGACCTGGGAATGCCTCCTCTGCCACGCACAGCAAACCTGCAGCGGGGGCCCCATCTCCGGGCCCTCTCCTCTGCTAACAGGCCGGACACAGCAGAAAAGCACGTTACATAACTGGCCGGGGCCGTAAAGGGCGGCACGCTAGGCGGTCTCCTGCATTCTCTGCAGGGCTCCTGGCATTCAAAACATCCCCTTGCTTTTGAGCCCCGGTGGGTGAAAGGACTTCTCTGTGCGCGAGGGAATGCACTGACAGCCTGCCCGAGCTGCCAGGAAGGGCCCAGCCCTGCTGGGGCTCTCGCACGTCCTCCAGGGTGGAACAAACATCCCACATTTCGGACAAGTAGAGAGGAAATGCCTTCCCCCCCCCACGTCAGGCTGCAGCTCTGACCTGTGCCATGTTTATCTGGAGGGCTGGTTGCCTATATAACACCCAGGGGACCCCCTGTTAGAGCGCATGGCTGTGGGATCTATGCACACAGTGGCTACATCTAGACTGGCATGATTTTCCGCAAATGCTTTTAACAGAAAAGTTTTCCGTTAAAAGCATTTGCAGAAAAGAGCATCTAGATTGGCACGGACGCTTTTGTGCAAAAGCACTTTTTGCGGAAAAGCGTCCGTGCCAATCTAGACGTGGTTTTGCGCAAGAAAGCCCCGATTGCCATATTCGCCATCAAGGCTTTTTTGCGCAAAACAAATCTGAGCTGTCTACACTGGCCCTTCCCGAACGGAAGCAGCATAGTATTTCCGCAAGAAGCACTGATTTCACTGGTCTACAATTTTTTAGAAGTCGTCTGCTTCAGAGATAAAATGTGCTATTTATTATGCATGTTGATGTGCTGAATTCAAATATGACAATTAAAACAACTGATTGGCTACTGTTTCCAAGATATTTCAGTTTTTACATTTTGCGTCTATGTATATTGTGTAGATAGTAGAGTTTTAATCATAAATTGTAAACCTAGGTCTTTTCATGTGTTTATGGTTGCTTTACATGATAATATTTCACCTGTCCTGTTTATGTAGCACTTTAAAAATCAGCAAAAGGGTTATATAAATAAAAT